ACAATCACATGGAATTGAAGTTGGGAGAAAGATGGCAAATTTCATAAGAGCCATCTGTGAACCCATGCTTGTTGCTCATTTTGGAGATACCACTATCATTAACCGCCTTTTCGACAAGCTTGCACACAATGCGAGTCAAGATTATATTAGTATAATCCGTGAACAAACATTTGGTATTATGGTTTCTTTGACTAGAAAATAAAATCAGTCTCTTTGTAATGCTTTGAGTTTTTGTTCTGTTTTTTTACAGCCATGTCTACGATTCACTCTTGTGAAAATGTAGGGAAAATTTTTGGTGAATTTATGGAAGAATTACGAGAATACCACATCTAGCACTTGAGATAACCAAAATGCCCTCTCTCCTTCTCTCTCAAATTATATGACTTGTTGATGCCCATCTTATTGTAGTGGTTATACGCATTTAACTGGACGGTATATACTATAGATAATTCACTATATTTAGGTTTAAACTAATGAAGAGTTTTCGATTTCTCTAAAATTTGTGGATAGTTTTCTAGTTCAACATTCTTTTTAAAGAAACAAATGAATCAGGACAAGAAAAAGTATTTGTTTTTGCCTTTAAAGTTTTTCGATTAACTTGGAAAAAAAAAATGAAATATTGGTATACAACATTTATTCAGAATCCGGTAACCCGAATTAATTTTCGGGTCAAAACCTTTTGTTTGTTCCCAAAACGGTGCGTTTCGGCTGAAAAAAGGAAGCTTAACAACACAACCCCTAATTTGTGTGTCTGGTTCTTCTTCTACTCTTTGTCCCATTGAAAGATTTTTGGTAAAAATCCTTCTTCAGCCATGGCGCACGGTGGCTATGCCAAGAGAAGGGCTTCGGAACCGAAACAGACGACGGCAAGCAGCAGCAGTCGGAGGTCAAAGGGATTGCGTGTAGAGAAGAAACAACCTAAGACTGTCTCTCTCAAGAATCAGATGCGTTCCGTTGAACGTTTTCTTCGTAAAGTCAGCTCTTTTTCTCTCTCTCTGCTTCGTGGGTTTTCCTGAAATTAGTGTTTTATGGTCGAATTTCGACTAAAGTCTCAGACTTTCTAAGTGTTCACTTAGCTTGTTCTAGTGTCTGTTCAATGTGGAGCTTGAGGGTTATAATGATGTTTCTGGGTTGTGTTCGAATGGATTAAAAAAGGGTCTAATTTGTTATTGTGGAGGAGAGAAGAATGTTGATGTATTGGTGACGATGTAGCTTGTTCTAGTGTCTGTTCTATGTAGAGCTTGAGGGTTACAATGTTGTTTCTGGGTTGTGTTCTTGTAGAGAATTTCGAATGGATATAAAAGAGTCTAATTTGTCATTGTGGAGGAGAGAAGAATGTTGATGTATTGATGATACTAACTATGTGTTAAACAATGTCTGTAGAATCCACCTCCTGAAGTAAGAGAGTCTCTAGAACAGAAGTTGGAAGATTTAAAGAAGCAGCAAGATGATCATAACCGTCTTGCTGTAGAACGTAAAATATTCCTCAGGAATAGAAAGATTAAGTTCTTTGGTAAGAGCTTTTTTACTTATTTGTTAGCATTGACTTGTGTGTTTTACTGGATGTGTCACAATCTAATTCAGGAGAGTTTTTTTTTTTCCGATGAAATAGAGCGGAGAAAGATCGAAAGGACCATTAGACGTCTTGAGAAGCTACAACGTTCTTCATCTGCTCATGTGGGAGATGCAGAGATAGCTGAGCAACTTAATAAACTCAAAGAAGACCTTGAATATGTTAGGGTAAGTTTAACTAACTTTTACACTCGCTTCTCGGCTTTTCCTTTACGGTTTTGCATCATTCTGCTTGTTAGGTTTTCTCTGTAAGTTTCTTTAGTTATGAATTAGAATGACGACCATAGTTGAATATGTCTGTTATTGAGTTTGTTTTCTTCTTCTTGTGGACAATTACAGTTCTTCCCCAAAAATGAGAAGTATGTATCTCTTTTTACTGGTGGTGAAGATTCTGAAGTAATTGAGCGGAGAAGTAAAATGCGGAAGCAGATCAAAGCCAATATTATTGTTGCTGCCGCTAGTGGGAAAGAGTTAGAAGGTAAACATGATATGTAGAGATGCTTATAAGTTATCATCCTTTTTCGTACGTACCAAAGCGGATGATTCATTTTAATCGTTTTAATCGTCTGATGTTATGGTTAATGGACAAACAGAGACGGGGAGTGAAGATGATGGTCTTCTGGACCTGAGTGATGATGATTTCTTTGATAAAGGGAGTTCAAGCGATGAAGCAGACGCGGATGATGAGTTGACCGATAAAAGTACAAAGTACGGCCTAGTAAAATGTGGAATACTTTCTTTAGATGTCAATTACTATTCACTGAAGCTTACCGAGCATTTCTGGCGACTGTTTATCTATGATTTTTCAGGGAGGCAGCTTCTAGTGCTTCTGGTAGAGCAACATCTGGCATGTCTAGTGATGAAAAGACTCAGGTATGATTGATTTTCTTGATGATTTAACATGGTTAAAATCGGAAACCTCATGTCTGTTATATGGTAGAAGGATGAGAGACTTTTTTACCAATGTTTTGAAACTTTGCAGAAGCAAAACTCTGCTAGAGCTTTAATGCCACCACCACAGGCGAGATTTGGATCGAATTCTAGGAAAAATTCATCAGTTCAGAGGAACGATACTCCATCATCGTCAAGAAACACTTCAAACAGAAGAAGTGAGTCTTCGCATAATGCCAAGGCTGCCGTGACAAACTCATATAGCAGTCAAAGTAGCAACTTGAGCTCTAATTCTGATGCTCACAAACCAAAAAGGAAGAGAAGGCCTAAGAAGAAGAAGCAACAGGTCAGTTTCCTCCCTTGACTCTTAACCTAAACATGAGTTGAGATCTGGAGAAAGATTTTTGAATTCATCGAAGATTTGTTTTTTTTTTCTTCTTTACTTGTAACAATAATGGCTGATTCTTCTGTTTGCTGTACTTGCAGGCGTGATCGGCTTCTCCAAAGAAACAAACACACACACACACTAGCAACTCTATGAGTTCCGTTTGATTTACTTGCTCGCTAAGATCTCTCTGCTGGGATCTAAGGAATAGATATATAATATATTTTGGTGTGGTCATGGAATGCAGAGAGATAAGTGTCTGTAACATTTTTGGCTTTTATGATGAGATGAAACCTTAAAAACTTTGGGTATAAACTCCTTTTTTGAATCCCTCTTGGAAAAAAAAAATCAGAGCTTTTGTGTTTGGAGTATGCTCAGAGAATTGCCCATGGTGAACAGATGGATGGCTTCATACAGAAGAAACTAGTTGAAGGAAAAAGTCGTAGTTTTATACAAAATTTGGGTTTTGAACCTCCACAGATCTTCTTCCCTCAAAACATGTTTCTTCAGTTTAAGATAGTACTTGTCTTTTTGAAAACCAGATTGTGTGAACAAGCAAGATTTTTGTCCAAGTCAAGGATTATTAAGTGAAGAGACAGAGGAAGTCAAGTAAACAGAGAAGTGATTCCATTATATGTTCTTCGACAACACATTTAATTATATCAAAACCTTATTCTGAAAATCCTAGATTTACTATTCATTTACCAATTCCATTTTTTTTCTTTAATTACAAGTTTTAAGCAGACTTCCTTTGACCATTAAAAAAAAAAAATTAAAAACATATTTCCCAAATGTAGAGTATTTTTGTTTGATATTTTCAAGATACAAATGTTTTCTTTTCGTTTCTAGAAATAATCAATATTGTAGTAAATTCGACATCTGCTGCAAAACTGCAACTAGATAAATTACAAAAAAATATTTTGAAGACTGAATTAAATGTTATTAAAAAAAAAACTTTAATTATTAATGGCCAAAAAAACAAAAGAAAGAAAGATTGATGTTTCAGACGAAAAAATACTTTGAAAAAAAAAAAAAAATCCAAAGATTTATTGCTTTCAGAATCCAGATTGAAGGGCGAGCCACCGAGTGAGACACAGTTGAAAACTCAGGAATCCCTTCGGACAAGAGATCCAGGGATGTCTGAGATTCATTCAACACAAACATCGAAACTAAACTGAAACAAACCTAATCAGAGACTCCCCAAAGAGCTGACAAGACTCAGGGGAGGGAAAACAAACAAAAACAATAGAGAAAAAAAGAAATTTCCGCAGGAAGAAGATGATGTTAATGGAATCAAATTTGAGGTGGTTTTTGTATACCATCTTGATCTTGGGTTTTGTTCTTGACGATGGAGTTGTCGCCGAAGGTGTTAAGCCTCATGAAGCTAAACAGCTTAGGGACGAGGTAATAATTCCTCAACAGATCTACATTTCATCGCTTTCAAAATTTAGCTCTAAGATTCAACCTTCTTTATCTATTGGAGCCATTGTCTGAGAAAAATTGAGTTAAGTTTTGATTTTTAGGACGTTTTAACTACTCAAAATTGATGTTAGTTCTTCTGTAATGGCGAATCTAATCCAAAGGGAAGTTCTTTAGTCTTCTGAAAATGCATTTTAAGAATCGAGAGAATTGGGTTTTTAGTTGTTTTGCATTTGGTTCTTGATTGTTTGATAATTAGATGGCTCTGCTTTGTTGAAGTTTTGTGTCAAAATGTTGGTTTTTTATCATATTGAGTGTAGGTACGTGAGATGTTTTATCATGCTTTCGATGGATATATGAACAATGCGTTTCCGCTCGATGAGTTGAAACCGTTATCCTGCCAAGGAGAAGATACTCTTGGAGGCTATGCATTGACCCTGGTAAACTGTAATATTAACCTTCTCTTGTTAACGCTCTGCGTTATTTGTAGTTGTATGTAAAACCTGAAGATGGGTTTGTCCCTTTTCGTGTAGATTGACTCGTTGGATACATTAGCTTTGCTTGGTGACCGAGAGCGATTCACTTCTTCTGTTGAATGGATTGGTAAAAATCTTCAGTTTAATATAGTGAGTGATGATCGTTTTGGTTTCTCTAACAAGACCAAGTTTGATTTGTTAGCAAGTACTCTTTTTCAGCTTTTTATGTAACTCATAAGTCATAACCTGGGGAAAGAAATTGATGCACTGATACATGTCTTTTTGACTGCAGAATAAAACTGTCTCTGTGTTTGAGACAACTATACGAGTCCTTGGGGGTTTACTTTCTGCTCATCTTATTGCAAGTGATTATGCGACGGTACTTTCTCCTGCTTAGCTATCTCTTTCATTGTGATTTCATCTTCTACGAGGATAATTTGTGCATTCTTCAGCTAGTAAGCAAAAGTAGCTTCTTTGCTCCCTCTATAATGTGTCAAGCTTTATGTGAGCTCATTGTGCAACTAATCTTACAATTCTGGCTTGTCTTAGCTTAATTAAAGTAGTTTTGCTTGTTTTCCCTGTAAGCTTGAATGGAATCTAATCTGATGACAGGGCATGAGAATTCCATCTTACGACAATGAATTACTAGTTTTGGCTGAGGATTTGACACGGAGAATGCTTCCTGCATTTGATACACCGACCGGTATGCTCTTTTAGTTATCACGTGTTAGTAAGCTGGCGATTATATGCATATGCGAAAATGAGGGATTGCCTTGTCACCTCCTTCTTCTCTCTTTTTTTTTTCCTGCAGGAATCCCATTTGGATCTGTGAATTTGATGTACGGTGTTGACAAACATGAAAGCAAGGCAAAACATCCTCTTATTCCTTCTCCTAGCTTTGAGATTTGATTCTTACTTATTTAGTTCTTGATCTTTGCTTTTGGCGACGCTACTGAATTGCATATGAATCTAGATGATACTGAGATGCTTAGTTTGCTAACTTTTTCAATGAGTTAAAGAGTCTTGAGATTAGACTGTTCATTTTCAGCTTGCAGATCTTATCGTTGATTCATATATTAAGACTCATATGTATAGAAATCAAAATCTTTGTTTGGTTTGTTCAGATAACATCAACTGCGGGTGGTGGTACTTTGACTTTAGAGTTTGGCGTGCTAAGTCGTTTAACAAATGATCCTGGTGAGTGAAGCTATGGAACTTTGGTATTTAATGTCTGATCATAAAACAGTTTACCTACTGAGATATAATTCTCTTTTGGTCTCCTATAGTTTTCTTTTTGATTTCCTTCAGAGATGTAATGATGATTGTTTTTCGTTTTCCCTTTGTTTTTATGTGCTCTTGTTTGGGGGTCCAACTTTGTTAAAATTGGAAGTTTTCGAGCAAGTTGCAAAGAATGCAGTGAGGGGACTATGGGCACGTCGTTCAACTCTCGGCTTGGTTGGTGCTCACATCAATGTCTTTACAGGTGAATGGACACAGAAGGTAACACCGGTTTTCGTACTAAAACTGACCAAAAAAAAGCTTCTCTAATATGTTTGGCGTACTTCAGTTAACATATTAGAGATCTTCTTAATTGTGTCGAGGAATTTTGGTTCTATTAAATCATTGGTCTTCTTTTCGTCATCCAAATTCTGAATGGTAGTGTCTACTTGGCAGGATGCTGGTATAGGAACAAGCATTGATTCTTTCTATGAGTATCTCCTGAAGGTTAGTAAGTGTGGATCTTCGCTTCAAAACTGATTTTGTCAATGTTATCTAGAAATAAGTAAACACATGATTATCATCGCGTGAGACATGTCTAGGCATATCGCGTCACATAAAAGACAAGATAATTTCAATTGTTGAGCTGCACTGAGCTTTTCCTTGCTATATGAATCGATAATTTCAGGCTTATATTTTACTTGGGGATGAGGAATATTTATACATTTTTCAAGAAGCTTACGGGTCTGTAATGCAGTACCTTCATAAGGATCCTTGGTAAGCTCTATAACTTTTGTTTTGTTAAAAACATGAACAAGCAGTTCCTTTCTTTGGATTATTGTTTTTTTAGTTTTGTCGTAGGTATGTAGAGGTCAATATGGATTCTGCAGCTATCGTCTGGCCAGTATTCAACAGTCTTCAAGCTTTCTGGCCAGGACTTCAGGTAAAAAGTGATTGTATAAATGTTTTCTTCAGTTTCAAAAACTGTTAATATATTTTATCTCGGAAAATTGAACTATGCTGTTTCTGTGTCTATGATTCTCTCTCAAAAGGTTTTAGCGGGAGATGTTGAGCCGGCAATTAGAACTCACACTGCCTTCTTCAGTGTCTGGAAGCGATACGGTTTCACTCCCGAGGGTTTTAACCTTGCTACACTTAGTGTCCAGGTACTCCATCTTTATTTTAGTATCTCGGTGATCGATTTTCGTTCAATTTCTGATGGAACTGTGACATTACAACTTCATAACTATTCTTCGTTTTCTTAACAGTATGGGCAAAAGAGTTATCCACTGAGGCCGGAACTAATTGAGAGCACTTATTGGCTGTACAAAGCTACCAGAGATCCCAGGTCACCAATTTAAGTTTAGTTAGTTTTTTTCAATTCTTTTGCCTTTGTCATCTGAATCAAACTGAACTTTCCAAAGACGATTACACTACTGAATTGGTCCTTTATTTATCATCGTATTTTCTTCTCGATGACAGGTATCTTGATGCAGGACGTGACTTTGTTGCTAGTTTGCAATACGGGGCAAAATGTCCTTGCGGTTATTGTCACATCACAGATGTAGAACTCCATAAACAAGAAGATCACATGGAGAGCTTCTTCCTCGCAGAAACTGTAAAACAATAAACGATGTTTCTCAATATGCATTTACTTGCTACCTTAAGCCTTCACTTGTTACATCCTTTGATTCCACAAATATTTCAGGTAAAGTACCTATGGCTACTCTTTGACTTAGCTGTCGACTCAGATAACCTTGTCGACAATGGCCCTTACAAGTAAAAATATTCCCCCCTCATTATCCTCTTTGATTTTTCAAAATTACTACAAACATTTCACTACTCTTGTTAATTTTACTTAAATCTTTTCAGGTACGTCTTTAGTACGGAAGGACATCTTTTACCATTAACACCACAAATATCTCTAGCTCGCGAACGTTGCTCTTACTTAGGCGGATACTGTCCACGCAATGCCACAAAACCAAGACAAGAAGAAGAGAATAATAACAATGATCGAGTTCCTGGAATCGAGACTCACAGTAATAACATTTATCCTTACCACGAGTCTTTTCCAGTTACCGGTTTGATAAAGGTCAGTATCCAAAGAGATTGTTTCTTTCTTTTTGGATTCCTTACAACAAATGCATTAAGGTTTGGGAAATCTTCTTCTGTTTTGGGTTTTTGTAGGGTATATGCCCCGGACTAACTCATGCTCAGAAATACGGTTTGTCTTATGTTTTACCGGAGAAGACAACAGATCGTGAAGATGTTCCGACTAATAATGACCAAGCTAAACCGGTAACTACGAGTCGCTCAATTGTGTTAGTTTCGGAACAAACATTGAACAAGAGATCACAGGTTGGTGAAGAAGAAGGCTTAAGTTCTCAGTCTGAACCAACTATGACCATCTCTGGTGCTAGTAGCAGCGACCAAACCGGTCAAGAGCTAACCTTATTAGAGTCTAAAAGTGATACTACTGAAGATCAAAGATCATAACTCCTCTTAACAATACTCTCCACATCCTCTCATTTATTTAAAATTGTTC